GAGACAGGTCGCGGTTGGGAACGGCGGTTTTCCGAAGCTGCGGTTTGCTCGGGGCCTTTCGGCTCCTCTTACCCAGGCAGAGGGCACCCGGGCCGCGGTTCCAGCGGCGTTGGGCGCTGCTGAATTAGGAGATAATTTGACAAAAACCCGTCTGGCGGCAAAATCGGCGCGGGGCATTACTCTGCCCTTGGTGCGGCGGCAGGACGGGCTGCCCGGCTCCACCGCCAGCGCATCACGGACGGCCGCGGGTGAAAAATGGGGGTGCGGGGGTGGAAGGGGCCCCACGGTGTCGAGAGGGCGCAGATGCTCAGCTCCCGGGAACGAAAAGGAAAACTTCTGTGTTTTAGAAAACCGTAAGTTAGATGGAGCTATTTAGCATATTTGTATCCAGCTGGGTGCTTGTGATTTTGCTGCGAGTTTCTATCACAAATATGTGCGTTTTGGCGGGGAGATCAAATGGATGTAGCAGTTTGCGAGTCGTCTGAGTGTTGAAGGAGGTGAAAGGTGACTTATGCCTCAGGTGGGAATACATTCTGCAGAAAAGCCCAACCACTTCTGCAAGCTTCAGCTGGCCGGCTGTCTTACAAACAGCGCTCGGGGCAATCGCCGTGATTGCTCTATTTAGAGATCTAATTGGGAGAGGTGGAAATCTGTGATTAAACTATAATAAAATAAAACGTTATATAGCTGTTCAGCTAGAGGCAGTCTTTGTCTTGCTTGCATGTTGGTAGATGCCTTCATCAGGGTTGGAAAACCTTGCTGTTCCTTTTCATTTGGGATGCCCTTCCTGTCAGCAGAAGCCTCTTTCTCCTGGTGGTTTACCTCAGTGGAATAAGCTGTGTTGGCAAAGGAATTTTTTGGTGGTACAACCATACCTACTGCTTGTTCTAACGAGGTTACGTTAGCCTCTGCTTGCAACGTGGTGAAGCAGAGGGCATCTTCAGACCAGCTCCTCCCTCCCACAGAAGGGGGCTGGAGAAGGGTGCAAGAACAGCAAACACACAGTATGTGAGCATCTCTGATATATTCTAGCGATTTGTGGCTTGAAGGCTCCTTCAGCTGGAGACAGTCTTTCTAGCTTTCTAGTAGGTGTTCTTGCTATTAATTTGTTCAGTTACTCTTTGATCTTGCAGATGTTTTTAGTATCCACAACTGCCTGGAGTGATTTTTTGTGGCAGAGAATGATTCACTACACTCAGATGTGGTACTGGGCTTTTCAAACAAGTAGCTTGTTTACTTGGTTTCAGAAATTACTTGGTCTCTAAATTTCAAAATGTAACTTTGTATTGACAGTCTTTTTTGTGTTTTTCTCTAATAAATTGTATTCCTTAGGCAACTTGTTGCAGCGCTGGAATGTTCCCATAAAACTGCAGATGAGCAGACAAGTGGCTAGCTCTGGTGTGCCCGGGGGCAAAGGCAGTAGTTCTGGTTTTGTCCTTATTGTGGGCTTGTCAACGTTAGGAGCGGGTGTCTATGTAAGTAGAAAGGTAGTTCGTGGAAAGAAGCTGCAATACATCTCTCCTGTCAAGCATCTGCTGTATTTCAGCTAACTTTACTTATCTTTTTATCTCTGTAGCTCTTTTCTCCTTCAGAAAACTTCAAGGGGAGCTAACTGAGCTGACTGGAAATTAACTTATGATACCTTTTTTAAAAATTGTAATTTCAGTTACCTTTTAGGTTTCTTTCCTATAAAGGCACTTTGTTTGCATGCTATGACTGACCACAGCTCTGTGATCTTGGATGAGATAGTAGCATAGTTCAGGGAGAGTTGGATAGCATATTGTTTTAATACCAAAGTAAAAACCATTCTTTGCTGAATCTCAATTCAGAGCATCAGTGTTTAGCTTGTGTGAGTATACAAAATCAACCCAAAATTGGTTGGCATATGTTTTTGTCCTACTCAGAGGATTCAGAAGGATAAAGTTTTTCTGCCCGGCTTAAAGAGTAAATCACATTCCTGGGAAGCTGAAGAGCAGCAGCATTACCTAGGAGTGCATGGTTCCAAAGTTTGTATCATATAAAACTTTGTTTCAAAATTAATTCTCTTGGAGGATGGTATTCTTTAAAAGTTCTGAGTCTTGATTTTTTCCTAATGAAACTCTTCAGATGCAGAAGGCTTCTGGGAAGTAAAAGTTCAGAAAGAGTGCATGGAGAAAAAGTCTTTCCCTATTCCCTTTAAATGTTCTTTACTGTGCCCTGCTGTACTTTTTTTTGACAAACAAGGTAACTGAAATTACAAAGTGCATTCTGCTTTTCCCATGATTTGTTAATCAAGAGTCCTTAATACTCAGCTCTTTCCTTCTCTTTCATTGCCTGTCTTCACCTACAGTTTTGCAATGTCATCATCTAAGATGCCCTTCTAGATCACTGACGTCTTCAGGTGTTCCTGGCAAAGCTGGCAGCAACCTATTGTTATACTTAATTGTAGGAGGAACAGTCACTGGGACAGGAGCTTATGTAAGATGCTTAAATAAATGTGTTTTAATTGGGTGAGAGGGTGGAGGGAGGGTACCTTTCTGTGTGTCATACCAAGTTAGCCATTTACTTTAACTAAACTGTCTTTGTGCTCTTTGGCCTCATATTTAATTTCAGGGGACACTGTCAAATAATTTAAGTTCACTCTTTGAGAATATCAAATTCTTAGTGGGAAAGGTTGCATTAGAATTAAATTTGCCACATTAAATAAATCTAAACCCAAAACTGGCCGCTTTCAGTTTGTAACCATCAGAAAGGCACAAATTAACGTATCTATTCTGCTGCCAGTAATGTTGGCATACAAAAAAAAAAAAAAGAAATAACGAAATGTAAGTATGCTAGAGGAAAGACAAGAAAACTTGTCTTAACTTTGTGATTTCTTCAGAGAAGGACAGTGAAACGTCATTCCATTTTCTGGTAAAGTACACAGCTATATTTTTGACAAGAAAGAACTTGGCATTGTTCCTTTGGGAAAATTTATCCTGAAAACCCGATTTGATAATTTGTGTGTATAGAATAATAATTTTTTTTTTCTAAGGGATCAGATTTAATTTGCTGTATGCTGCCCTTTGGACTCAAGTCTCATGGTTCTGCTTGCAGAAGCAGAGCTAGTTTTGTTATCCTTGACTTTTATATGTTTAAGGCTTTAAAAATATCTTTATCTTAATTCTTTTCAACACTGATGAGTTCTTATTTTCTGATATTTTTGACATTGTTTCAGTTCTCTGGATATGCTTTTGTCTGCCTGTGCTCTTTTTCATGCCTGACATTAAATTCCTCAGTTCTTGTTTGAGACTGTTTGCTATGTTATAGAACATATATTTTTCAATCTCCATGTAATTGTGGGGGTTGGTAAAATGCAAACTGTCTAGGGAGTAAAAGAGACTTCAATTCCTCAAAGGAATTAATTTTTGTTCAAACATTGTTTGGGTGTCATAACACTCGGTTAGCTAACAGTAAGTGGTTTGGCATCAGCTGCAGCGTTTTACCTGTCACACCTTCCCATTTAGGAGGCTTTTATTTCTTGCTGGAAATGTTCCAGTTTTAATACCCTTTCACAATTCAAAATACAGTAATTGGATAGATGGTTGTGTTTCAGACTGTCTTGATAGTGCTTTTTCTCTTTTATAAACAGAATAAAAGTTAATGTGATGCACGTGTGATACGGATTATTACCAAGGCTAGATTTTGCCTTAAGAAATTGTTTGCTTCCCTCTAATTTGTTAACTGTGGGGACAAATATCATACTGTGACTTGCTTCCAGCAGTGTCATTGTCTCTTGCTTCCAGTTGCTTCCAATTTTGCTGGGAAGTTAACTTGATGTCTTAAAAGATGTTTGCTCCTTGTCTATACCACTAAATTGTATCCCCAGAACATGCAGGCTATGCTCATACTGTCTCCCGAGTTCAACAGGCAAACAAACAGGTCAGCATTCAGACACGGGAATCTCTTCCAGCTGAAGGCTGTTGCCTACAACAGCCACGCTCCCGTGCCTGAAGAGCACTGCTAGCGTCAGTGATTCCACTGGTGCTAACATCAAAAGCCTGTTGGGGTGTAGAAGCAGAAGGGTGCCTTGATGCTGTAAGGTATACAAGGTAAATTTCTGCTGGTCTGTCTCCAGGTATACAGAACATTGAAAGAAAACAAAGAGCGATTCACCAGCCGCGTCACCTCATTAACTACGCGATCTCAAGAAAAAGCGTCTCCTTCTGGTGGGTACTAGCCTGCTAGTTCTAGGTTTGGGTCTGTTTGTCATAAGCTGCCAACTTGAGACCTCTAAAACAAATGGAACAGAGCCCTTCTGAAAACACAGATTAGCATAGGATGTGCCTTCACAGCATTGTCACCTCTCCGTTCATTCTGTTGTTTGTGAATTCCTGTGTCTTCCCAGCACAGAAGATAGTGCTAGCTTTCCATGACCCAGAACAAAGCTCTGTTTCACAGACAATCATGAGGATAAAGTGGGTTGTCTCTCGAGGCTCCTTTCTGCCCTTTATGCCTTCTCTGATAAAAGGAGAAAAGAGTTAGCCCTGCTTCTAGCTTTTACCCTTACGCAGTCTGGCAGAGACACAGTGATTCCAAAGGGACAATGTGGTCTGCCAGCACAAAATCCTCTGTGCTGTGCCACATACCTGTCCCATGCATGGCGGGTTGGGCATGTGAGAAGTATTGTGCTTGGACTACATGGGGAGGGAGGAGTCAGGACAATTAGTGAGGCTCTCAGTGATGCTTTGCAGGCTGTGTGGACCACAGGTCGCTCATTGAACGTCTCTTAATTTATGAGATCTCAAATTGCAGTGTCTGAACTATTGAGCCAAAGGATGATGTATTTTGTAATAAGAGTGGCTTTAGGTCACAGAAGATAGGGTATGTTATGTCACTTTACTAGGAAACCAACAGAAATAATATCCTGCAGACAGGACAGAAAAATGATTGCTTTGGTTTGAGGGAGAGGATAAAACATGATTGTTAGGTTGGGGCTGGAGGACAGAGAGTGAGAGCCTAAATGTTGAAGCAGAGGTCTTGGTAAGTGGACATTTGTGGAGACTCTGTCCCTTTATAGTGCAGAGCCTGTTAATCCTATAGTCTCCTTGAGTCAGCTCTGAACTGCAGCTTCCGAGATGCAGCATCCTTGATAGCCTGTGATTCGCTGAATTAAGTCAGTGTCTTCTCTTTCAGATACAGATGCTGCTTCTCAGGGCACAGCAGGTGAGTCTTGATGGTAATATTTAACTGACTGTTTTATTCCTATATACGGTTTAACTGCATGTTGCTTAGAAACAGGACCTGCATGTGGGAGGTATGGCATTCTGGTAGAAACTCAAAAGTTGGTCTCCTTTCAGAACACAATTACAGAAAACTATACCTTGGCATTTTCAGGAACTTTACTATCTTATAAACTGTTCACTGAATGGCCGGTGCAGAGTTTTGGTCTTGCTCACAAATTGGTTTATGTTCTTAAAGAAGACATGCAGCTAGATCAAACACTTTGTAGTTTGTATTTTCCAAATAATTGTGAAAATTATTTTCTGATCTGAGTGACACCCAGGCCACATCTCTTCTCCTGGTGTTTTGAATAACCTTCTGGCTATGTCCCTCTTACTAGCTTCGCAAACTGTCACTTACTGTAAAACCTGAATGTTGGATCTCTAGTACATTGTTTGGCCAGCATAGAGGCCAGGCATGTTTTTGCTGTCCTGAATCTGCTGTACAGAGAATGTCCTGATGTTATGTGAAGCTTCTAAAACTGTGTTGAATGCTGGAGGTGAGCTTTGTGAGTTTTTGACTTTGCAACCACTTCACCCAGCTGTGCAAGTGTAAGCAGTATTCTTAAATAGATCAACTCATAAAATGAAGCTCTTTCAGAGTCTGCTGGAGAAGTAGCACCTGTTCAGAGTAAGGCTTGAAACCTGTTAGCAGGGTCTCCAAACAGGGGTATTCCAAGCTTGTTACGTAGATCATTCTTATTCTTAACATCTCAAAACAGAGAAAAGTAGATCTGTAATAGAGGAGCTAAAGCCATGTGAATAAAAGCTGTGCTACTGGCCTTTTCTAAAACTCTGTGATTACCATTGAGCTCAGCTGTGCAGATCTGGCTTAGAAAAAACAATTTGCTGGAATCTGACAGTTTGATTTATGGAGGGAGCCAGCTTTGAGTGAAGGAGCAGTGTGGTTCTTGGGAAGTATATTGGGGTGGCAGGGAAAGGGAGGAGGAGCTGTTCAGAGGGTAATTTGCCAAAGGAAGTGTGAGTGTGAAAGTCATGTGGTGATATACTCTCTTCTTTTGGGGCCGGGCCGTTTTCCCTGCTCTGTTTGCAGTAAGCTGTTCAATGTGTCACCTGCAGCTCCGGGTGCTCGCCCTGAGGTCCCATCTCATGTTCCTTTCCTGCTGATCGGTGGAGGAACTGCTGCTTTTGCTGCTGCCAGATCCATTAGGGCTCGTGACCCTGGTGCTCGGGTAAGAGATGCCCTGTTGTAGAGCAGAGCTGTGGGGATGACTGAATACTGTGCTTGCTTCTGAGCCTCTGTCATGTGTTTTGCCATTTGCCTGGCATTGGTACAGCTGATGTGTTTAATAACCAATTAAAGGTGCTGATTGTGTCTGAAGATCCTGCCCTGCCGTATATGCGTCCACCTCTTTCCAAAGAACTATGGTTTTCAGATGATCCAAATGTGACACAGAGTCTGCGATTCAAACAGTGGAATGGCAAGGAGAGGAGGTATGTGTCACTTATGGGTAGCAAGGGTAGAAGGAGAGTGTTTAATGAGAAGTTGATGATGATCAAGCTGTTGTTGTGAGAGAACCACTACAGAGCTCTGAGGGACCTCAGGGTGCCATGGGACAAATCACTGGATAGATTTTTGTGTTTGTGGCTACTATGAAGAGAGCACTGAGGTATGCGTGTGTCTGTGTGCACCGTTGATAGGCTTAATCGACGAAGGGGCAGAGCACTGCACGCTGTGTGCAGAGCTTGCATGGTGGTTTGCACTGGAATACCTGACTGACTACCTGGTGGAGTCCGTGAGACTCCGTGATGTGGCTGCGGACTCGTAAGCATGGCTTCCAGAGATGCTGAGATGTTACAAACAAGTCAGTCGAGCACTAAGGAGCAGACTGAAAGGTGTGGCAGTGCTGGCAGTTGTCAAGAGGAGTGCTGCTTTGCATATGAGAGTTAGCTTGGTGCTTAATACCTCTTGAATCTTGCTGTGATTCCCTTAGACATACACCACCACTGGCAGAAGTTCTGTGAAAGAAGTTAATGGTAAAGATGGGGTTACAGATTCACAGTTTAAAGCAGAGCTCCAGGGAACCCAGATCACATTTGATTCTTGTGACTTTTGTGATAAAGCCTTACTGATCTAAACCCTTGAACTTCAACAGTGTGAAGACCTTAATCCTTAAAAATAGATAAATAAGAATTCTGGAGCTTTTTATGGATGCATAGAGTTGTCTTTGTACCACTGGTAATTGCTGAATAGCTGGTATCACAGAGAAAGTAGAACCCATTTGATAATGGAGCTTTTTTCAGTATATATTTCCAGCCGCCGTCATTCTATGTGCCTGTTCGTGATCTGCCTTTTGTAGAAAATGGTGGAGTAGCAGTTCTCTGTGGCAAGAAGGTGGGTACAGCACTAGCTGTTGTTCTAGCATCATACAGTTCTTCCCAAGCAGAGCCTGTGCTCTGAGCTGAAACTAAACAACTGCAGATGGTGGTGTGGAGGGTTGGCTGAGGAGGAGAATGTGTAAAAGTTTGGGGAAAGTGTACATGAAGAAGCTGGGACTGTGCTAATCTTAAGGGCAGCCTGAGTGAAGTTTGAAAACAGGAGAAGCTGTAAGCAATAGTAGTGAGCTGAGGGAAGGATAAGTTTAGAGTTTGGGCATGGGACAAGAATATGTAGAGCTTAGAGACAGGGTGTGACAGTGGGAACTAGGCTGTATATTGGTCAGAGGGTGAGGTAAGGAGAGGAGAGTGATCTGAGTAGTGGGTTATAATGTGAGCAAGACCATTGTGCTGAGGCAGTAGGAAGTTCGGAAGAGTTTATGGGTTTATGGTGAGGCTTCTAATATATTTGGTCCCTCAGTTTTTTTTATATGTTGCTAAAATAAGATTTCAGTGACTCCTCTTACTGCTGAACTACACTAGGTGTCTGATTCCGTTTCTTAGACTCAGATCCTGAGTCTAAGAAGATCAACCTGATCTATGATAGCTGCCAAAGAAGTCTCAATTTCTACTTCGTCTTCTCCCTTCCCCCCTCCCACTCCCCTAAACTTAAAGGTGGGAGAATGTTACTTCCAGGTTTGCTTCTCTAATCGGTAGTCTGTGCAGTTTAACTCGAACGGCCTACAGTGTGTGGAAGCTTGAGCTCTCCTGCTTGTTTAATTTTGCAGGTTGTACATATGGATGTTAGAGGCAACATAGTGAAACTCAGTGATGGTACTCAGATATCCTATGACAAATGTCTAATTGCTACTGGTAAGTTGTTGGGTTTCTTTATTCTTTCTCTTGTGCCAGGCTTTTAATTTCAGTGGTATTTATCTGACAAGGAGGTTTCTGCAGTGTGTGTCAAACAATAGAACAGTCACATGAAGGACAGTCATACAGACAACCGTGCCATTGAGTTTTTCACCTGCCTCGCATCAGCCACCTTCTCTGGGATGTTCAAAGTTTTGCCCTGTGAAAATCAGCAGGGAAGGAGGAAAAGGTGATTTCCCTAGTGGCTCGGTAAAGCCGGCTCTTATACAGACCAGCCTCTTCAAATCTCGGTAAAGCCGGCTCTTATACAGACCAGCCTCTTCAAATCTCAGTAAAGCTGGCTCTTATACAGACCAGCCTCTTCAAACCTTGCCTGTAGCAGTAGCAAGCAGAACCACCAGCTCTTGCTTGGGTAGAGCACTGCTCCAGCATCTAACCCAAGCAGTTCTACAGCCCTCTGTGGTTCAAGTGGAACTGGCTGTCTCCAGGGCCCCTGGGTGACTCTTGGGTCACCTACTGCTCACACAGAAGGTCTTTCATGTTAAAAACCCAGACAGCAGCAGGGAATGGAGCATATTGTAACGCTTGGGCAAGCACAGTCCAGATTAAAAATACCTTTGCATTGTCTGAACAGCCAGTGACATGGCCATGGTATCATTAGTCACTCTTTCTCTCTCTCTCCCCGTGTCTTCAGGTGGCTCCCCAAGGAACCTGCCTGCCATTGAAAGAGCAGGAAAGGATGTACAGCAAAGGCTGACACTGTTCCGAAAGGTAATCTTGAGGTGCTGCTAGTCCTGGGGTGAGGTTGAAAAAATCAGAGCCACTACCACTATTTTCAGCTTCTTAATTCTTCTGCAGTGGGTCTGGGACAGCCTTGCCTTGGCAGCTGTTTCCCTCAACTGGTAACCAGGAGTCCATTTGCTATTTATTCCTTTTCCCCAGGCAGGTAAACACAGTAGGGTCTACTAGACCACTCATCTGCTTGCCTCAGGCCTGAGAGCTGTAATAATGTGTGAGGGGTTTTTCTAATTGCTTTTTAGAACAGGCATGCAACCTTCTCCTTAGTCTAGGTCAGGGAATGAATGAGGAATAAGCCATATGGGAACTTTGTGCTGCACTTCCCCAAAGGTCTGGTCTGCTTAACTGTGGGAAGGGAAAGATGGGTGATGTGAGCGGTGGCATCCTTGTAGTACTGTATGTGCTGTAGAACGTTTGTGTCTAGAAATTTTGTTGTAATTGCTTGTGAAAGTGAGGGGAAAATGCAGCAATCTGAGATTGCCTGGACAGGGAAAAGCTTGCACAAACATTAGGAGGCCAGAGAGTTTTTTCTGTGCCCTAGGCAAGCAGGAGGGAGGAGAACCATGTTTCTCTTTCTAAGTTTGGGACAGTTGCTCTTATTTCAAAGGGAGAAATTGGAGAAAAATACCTTCTGCTGCTGTTCCTGTTTGAGGATATTTGAAATGGGAATAAATCTTCTTTCAGATTGAGGACTTCAGAAGTCTGGAGAAGATTTCAAGAGAAGTCAAGTCCATCACAATTATTGGTGGTGGTTTTCTCGGCAGTGAGCTGGCCTGTGCTCTGGGAAGAAGAGGTAAGTGCTTCTGCAGGTGGCTTGTCTTCACCTGGCACCTTGACAGAAGTGATGGACATTAAATATAAGCAGCCCGACATTATAAACTGCTTTTTCATTCCCTGACTGCTGATTTATTTTTTTTTTTTTTTTGCAGAGGCTTGTGCTTTGCCTGAAATAATCTTAAAGCACATGTGTTTTGTTGGCTCTATGGCCTGACCTGGTTTTCCATTTTCTCGTTAGCTGTCAAGCAGCACCTGACCACAAAGGTTGTTGTAAGTTGAGCTCGATGGAAGCTCTGCAGGCCAGTGTGTGTTGCAAAGTCATTCTACCCTGTAAAAAGTTACATTTGCTCTCTGTGCTAAAAGCCACCCTATAACTACTGATTCAAAGAGGTTGTAAACAACCGGATTCTACTCTCAAGTGTGTGCAGCTTTTTGAGTAGTGTCTTTAGGGCAATTTTTCTAGTAAGGGAAGTTTTCTCCAAAATACTAAGTGTTTTACTTAGAAGTCTGCTCTAATCCTACAGTTTGCAGGTGTATGTGAAACAGTGGTCAGTCAATTTGTGACTCCTGTGGAAAATCTGGGAGTCAAAACTCCTAATTTTGGAAACTTCTGTCAAGCTCCTTTTGTAAAGTAAAGCACATGTTTGTGTCCTGAAGTCTGTGCTGCTGCTCTTTATTTATGGGTTGTAAGAAGCCTGCTCTTTGCTTTCCTTTCAGCACGAACCAGAGGCCTGGAGGTGATTCAGCTGTTTCCAGAGAATGGCAATATGGGCAAAGTCTTGCCTGAATATCTGAGCAACTGGACCACAGAGAAAGTCAGAAGAGGTGAAGCTGCACTTCAGTGCTCCTCCTCTGCGAGTGTCAGAGCTGTGGTGTTTAGGCCCAGTGGCTGTTGTGTAGCGATTCCTTGTTAAATACAGCTCTGCCAGCGGAGCCTCAGGAAGACTGGGTCCCTTGAAAGGTGGCCCAGGTGCAGAACAGAACAAGTTGCAGTTCAGCCAGTTTGGATAGCACAGAGCTTCTGTGAATCTCAGACTTCTTAGCAGTTCCTCTGGGATAGCCAAGGAAATATGCATGCTGATACTGGGGAAATTTTCTCTCTGGCTGTTCCTCCACAGAATTATCCCTACAGCCATGCTTGTGAGTTATTTTAATGGCCTCTGTAATCTGGTTTACAATAACTGCCTGTTCTCCTATTTGGAGTTGCTCTGCTCTTGAATAATTTTACTTCTTGGAGCCTAATGCAGTCATCCTGGAGGCACTGTGAGAGAAGGGGCTTTGTGGAGCCCCATGCCTTATGCATACACATTTGTAAAGCCAGCTGCTGTAGTGTTTAGCTGATAAAGTCAGTAAGATCTGAGACACCATTTGCTATATTAAGTGCAGAATATATTCCTGTGGAGTGGGGATAGAGGGAGGAGGGATATAGTTGAGGCTGCAGATTGCAGGGCCTGATAACCCACAGGTCTGATTTACTTTCTTTTGTTTATGGAAGCTGCCTTGTTGCACCCCTGGGTCTGACTGTGGCAGAGCAGTAGGTAATTAAACGTCCTTAGTGCCTGAAAACCTGTCTTGGGGAGTTCTTTGACCTTGTCACCGTATGAGACGTACTTCTGATTGTCATTTAAGTAGCTCTTTCAGCCTTTATGGATGGGTCTCTTTCTCCTCATGCTTCACTCAAAACTGTACTGGCACATGCAGCAAAGATAAGGTGGCCTCTCCCTTGGTTCCTGACCTGGTCCCTGCTCTGCCTGCATCCATTTGCACCAAAGATGCCTGCTTCAGCTGAAATCTGTCTACCCCTGAGCAAGCAGTTACGTTTCTTATGTTTGTTTCCAGAGGGTGTTAATGTCATGCCTAATGCTGTGGTCAAGTCTGTCTCTGTCTGTGGCAATCGGCTGATGATTAAACTGAAAGATGGCCGAAAGGTAAATTTAAAAGCGGGGAGAGGGTAAAGTTTGTAGGGGCATTGAGAGAATTAAGGTAATAATTATGAATTCCCAAACAGGTGGAGACTGATCATATCGTGGCTGCAGTAGGGTTGGAGCCTAACGTGGAATTAGCAAAGTCAGCTGGACTGGAGGTGGACTCTGACTTTGGAGGGTTCAGGGTGAACGCAGAGCTCCAGGCACGCTCCAATATCTGGGTGGTGAGTATGTGCAGAGGAGTCTTCTCTCAGCTGGTTATGCTGATGCAGTCAGAACACAGAGTTACGGGGGCTGATATACCTCAATTAGGTGAATGGAGTTAAAAATAGCAACTAATGAGACCGGTTGTAGTGCAGATCCTGCCAGCAGCCGTAAAGTCTGTTCAGGCACCACGGCACACTTTGTTGCTGTGGCAACAACTGTGTGAGGTTCTGAGTATTTATGCTGTGTAAGAGGAGGTGGGGTCACCTAAAGATAGTATGGATTACTCTATTGCAGATTATTGTGTAAGAGTCCCTTTGGTGGGAGTCGAGACTTTGATTCCTCTGGAAAATGTACCTGATGCTGTCTTATTTTTCCAAAGATCGGTGAAAAATGCTGAGACTTGTGTAGTCTGGAGAGTGGGATAAGGTAGTGGTGGTATTTGGGGTTTGTCAATAAAACTCATTCGTAATTCCACTTTGTTCTTTTCCCAGTGCCTTTTTTGTTTGTGCATTAACTTAAGCTTTCAACATCAATGTTCAGTTCTCACGGAATGGTTCTTTTTAAGGCAGGGGATGCTGCCTGCTTCTATGATATCAAACTAGGTAGGAGACGTGTAGAGCACCATGATCATGCTGTTGTAAGTGGAAGACTAGCTGGAGAAAATATGACGGGAGCTGCGAAGCCCTACTGGCATCAGTCCATGTTCTGGTAATGTTGATGTTTTCTTTTGGTATTTCTTACTTGGCCACATTGTAGGAGCTATGAGAAGATACACCTTGTAAAGGTTTCTGTTTCCCGAGTGTAGTGAAACTGCTTCAGCAAATACCTTGTACAGCTTGTTCCTGGAAGTTCAGGGAACGGGAAGGCATTTGAGCATTCACTGCTCTGCCCTGACCTCTCTGAGATGGTTTTCCTTCCCACAGAGCACTGTTTCTCTCTGAACGAGTCCTATTCAGCAAAGCAGTAGCAATAAAGAGCAGCCCCTTTCCTCAGAGCAGGCTAATTTACCAGTTGAACTTAGCAGCAGCTTTTCTGTTACAACTATCTGAAATTCCTCAGCACAATCTGTTGGTTTCAGTTGTGCTGCACGTTTGCTGATTAGCTGAAATGATGCTTTAGTAGCAGTGTATCGCTGCATCCAGGAGGGTATGTGCAAGTGTGGTGTTTTCCAGAGAGAGGTGTTGAGAGGAAAACAAACAAAAACAGCCCACCAAAAATGAAATCCTGAAGCCTGTTAGCTCAAGGTCAGAAATTTAAAGTTAACAGGAGTTTGAACATGGGGAAAAGAGCTTTATTTTTCTTGGCGAAATCCTCTCAAACATAGTTATGACCTGCTGTCATTTACCTGAACTCTTGGTCTATATTGCATGAACACTGGACACAGAAGAGTTTCTTGCTTCTAAACGAGGACACAGAAGCATCCATTTCAATTGTGTGTTTTCCTTCAGGATACTCTTGATCATGACAGATACAGGCAACTGCAGGACTGTGAGTTGCAGTCTTGTGTGGTATTGTCAGCTGTTAACTCCAGGGGTTTGCTGGCCCTCACAATGTGAGACTTCCTTCTCCTGTGCTAAAAAGCTGGCAACTGATAGGAACTCTTTCAGTGTTTTTTCAGGATGTTTATGATCCTTCCTGAGCTCAGACTTGCCCACTGCTGGATGCCTCAGCTGGTATTCCTTTCCATAACCCTGGTCTGTGCTGGAGCATTCTGGCCAGGAAGGTAGTGATCTACGTATAGAGATATCCAAATTGTTTGTGATGCATCTATTTCCTCAGCGTAGTTGGGAACACTTGACACATTGTACTTACTAGGCCCCAAATCACAACTGCTTTGACTCCCATAAGCATCCCAGTTCAGGGAGGTGTTACAGCAATGTGTTCTTCTCTTTTAAATGCTCTCTCTGAAATATACACTAAATAATTGTCTGTGATGTGAAGCCTAGTGCTTATAACTCAGCATTGCCAGAAGTTTGGTCAAATGATCTTACTAGGACCTGGAAGGACACTTGCTTCTGCCCCAACTCTGTCTCCTAGTCACATTGGTACTGAGCAAGCGACAGAGAAGATTTTTGCAAGTACCTACTGACTGCATCCTGATACTCATATTTGAATACTGAGGTCAAATGTGTGACTTCCTAAACGGTTGAGATACATGCAAGCTCTTGGAAGCCAGCCAATGTCCTTCATGGGAGCAGGCCTTAAGTATTACAAGTTTTTGTATTATACATTGAACTGGTTTCTTCTGAAACTGATGACCTTAGGCTTGCTGTAGGGAGTCCTTGTTCCACCCTGATGCATGCATAGGAGACTGATGTGTGTCAGTCAGCCTGCATACCGTGATCTCTCTCTCACAACACTGTCATTAAGGATTTGGGGCTGGTTGGAATTGCCTTGTATCTGTCTCACTAATGATACAAATTTTTAAATTTTTTTTTTTCTGCTTTGTTCCTAGGAGCGATTTGGGTCCTAATGTAGGGTATGAAGCCATTGGCCTTGTTGACAGTAGTTTGCCAACAGTAGGAGTCTTTGCCAAAGCAACAGCAAAAGACACACCAAAAAGTGCAACGGAGCAGTCAGGTAGGGCTCTAGTCATGCTTGGGAACTGTGTGCATGAAGGTTTCTGTGTGTGGCTCTGTAGTGGCCACAGAGTCTGTCTGATCTCACTGTAGAGCACTAGGAGACATCAATCTTTTTCCTTCTTTTCTAGACCATGCTTCAAAGGCTGGTTTTGATATTAAAATGTTACTGAAACATAACATTCCTCCAAGAAGACATTGTGTAACTCATTTACCAAAATTAAACCGTTTTTTTCCTGATGGAAGTTTAATTTCCTCCATAGAGATAGAGCAATCAGGTTTTGCACAAGAGATTATGTGCATCTGAGCATATTTTTTCTGTATATGCTGCCTGGAAGAAAGAGACTGTTCTGCCTTTCGTGTTTGGTGATGGAAGTTGGGCATTGTCAGTGTTGTGCTTCATATTAGGATTGCTTCATTCTTGTGTTACTGAAACAACTTTTGCTGGATGCAACTCAAAGGAAAACACTTTAGAACCCTGCTCTTTAGTTTGCTTTCACTATCACAGGCAAATAGCTGCTGCTTTTTTTTCTGCACTGGATGTTTGATATCTCCTGTCTTTACATTAGGGACAGGTATTCGATCAGAGAGTGAAACAGAAGCAGAAGCCTCAGAAGTTCACATTTCTCCAAGCTCTTCACCAACGCCTCAAGTTCCAAAGCAGGGAGAAGATTACGGCAAAGGTGTCATTTTCTACCTCAGGGATAAAGTTGTGGTAGGAATCGTATTATGGAACATCTTCAACAGGATGCCTATTGCTCGAAAGGTCAGTGCAGGACTAGTATGCTGAACAGTGAGGCTTGCTTAGATAGGGGATTTTCTTGGGGAAAAAATCAATCCACCAATTTAAAATGAGCATAAATAAATGCAGATGCTCTGTCTGGAGCAGAGTTGTGCAATATCCAATGGTAGTTCTGTCTCAGGTGAATTATGGGAGATGTCCATGTGCTTTTCTGCATGTTTGCTCAAAATTCTTAAGAGAAACAACTTGAATCAGCTTTATGCTTCAAGCCTTGCCTTTGCATGGCTGGAATTTCAGGCCTGTAATAAGTACAGGCAAGAATCACATGTGAGTGAGCATCAGAGTGCATGTCCTGGTTTTATGCTACTTTGTCTAATGTACAAGTGTTTAAAACAGTCTTAAACATCTATCATCCTAGATAAAGTCACAAAAAGTCATGGTTAGAAGCAGCCTTGAGTAGGTGCTTAGTCTGTCTCCACCTCCCATAGTCTGTCTCCATCCTCCAAGGTCAGATAAGCTATACTTAGATAATTTTTTAACATCTTTGAGGAACTGTAGTAGTTTAAACCATGAGAGTGATTCTACACTATTCCCAGATGCTCTGTCCCAAAGTGAACTGTTCTTAATGTTGGAAGTTTCCATTGGTATCTAATTGGAAGCTTTCATGATGCAGTTTAAACCTCTTACTTCTCTCGTGCCCATGAAAGAGAGATCCTTTCCTTCCTTCTCTTAGCATCCCTTCCTGTAAATCAGAGAGCCAAGTATATACAGGATCCTTGGCCTCTTAGTCTTGTTGTCTACAAGATAGGTTTCCAAGTTTAAGCCACTTACACTGGCCCCTCTAAGTCAGTGCAAAGAGACTGGCTCATCTTCTCCGGGTTGAGGTGAACCACTTTTTGAAGATACTTGTTCTCCCCAGCTGTAAGGGGAAACCCAGACATCAGAAACAAATCCTACAGGGACAGTGAGGCTGGTTTTAACTCCAGCATCCCTGCAGGTGGACAAGGCTACATTTAAGGGTCCCATATAAATCTTGCTGTAGTAAAAACCGTTGTGGTGTTGACTGCCCAAGTTGGTAAGTTGTCATCAGCAGAGCTTCAGAGAGGATCTGAGAAATTCACTACATTGGCTGGTGACCATGTACCATCTTGCAGCACTGGTTGGTTGTAGCATGTGCAGGTTTCAATGTGTTCTTCCTTCCTTCAGATCATCAAAGATGGGGAGGAGCATGACGATCTCAATGAAGTAGCAAAGCTTTTCAACATCCACGAAGACTAAACTCCAGAAAGAGAACACTGCAGTGGGAGTGAGTAGGGCAGCAGGGGCTGCTGGCTGTGTGCACCCCTTCATGTCAGACAACTTCCTCCGAGTACTTGTGAATATTTCCAGTCACCTAGAATGTGACTAATGTTTGCACCAATAAAGTCAGATTGTTCTAAATTAAATGCCTCCTGGTTTTGTGAGGGGAGGATGCTGCCTCCTGCTGTCAGTTTTCCCCCCTGTTTCACCAGCAGAGCAGCCTGCAGAGTTCCCTCTTCTCTTGCAGCACTTCCCAGCTGGTGAGCCTGCGGTCCTGCTGGCGAGCCGCATGGAGGGCTGCGCTCTTGGCAGCAAGTGCTGCCTCTGTAGGAAAAGTACATCCCGAGGGGATGAAATAGTACATGATGCAGTGGCTATCATGTAAGCTTGTGTTTGAAGCTGGGTGTGTGCTCCAACCAGAAGACTGTTATAATATGGGGTGTGGAAGGGATGGAAAGAATAAGGAGAGAGTTTGGAGTTGATAAGGCAGGAGATAAGGGACTGAATTATGGGAACAATGGAGGAGGTACACTAATGCAGCTTTAGAGAGCAAAGGCTGGAGTGGGTGATGAGAGCCAGTGACCTGAAAACACCTGTGGCACCTCAGGGCACTGAGTCTCCCTTGACTGCAGAGCCTCAGGGAGAGACCAGCACAGCTGCTCTTGAACCTGTGGTGTGTGAGGATGGAGAAAACACAGCTTCCCATGTCTGGAGCCCATCAAGGAGAGGCCAGCACAGCCATTGTCTCCCCCGTAGCACGCAAAGATGAAGTGGCTTCTCCATTGCCTCAGAACCCTCCAGCAGAGGCTGCACAGCCCACCTTGCCCCGGTAGCGCACAACAAAGGAGAGGCAGTGGCTTCTCCCTTGTCTGGGGGCCCAGGCCAGCAGCACTGCAAGCACAGGGACTGGCCGTGGCTTTCCCTGCCCACACACCCCTCACCTACAGATCTGCCTCGATGGTGATGGCCCTCCCTCTTCAGAAGGGGACACAATGCCCTGCACAGGGCTTGCTGCACGCAGGGACAGCAAGAGCAGCAGTTCCTCAGCTGGCACCAGGTGGGTCCCCCAAGGTGGCAGTGGGCCCTGAGCCGGTACGGCCTCCAGAGGGAGCAGCCCGCAAGGGATGGTTGCATGGACTTGCATCCTCTGCAAGCATTCAGCTGCCCTGAGGACACGGTGCTGCCAGCTGCCGCTGGGCAGACACGGATGCTTTTGAGGCCAATAAAAGATGACCATTTTCCCCCAGTGCTTGTCCATGCCTGATCCATCTCGGGAGAAAGATGGTTGCAGAGGCAAGGGCTGCACTCATGCAGCCTCTGTCCTTGGCTTATCTTGCAGACAGACAGCCCAGCACGTAGGACAACTGCCCCAGAGCAGGGGGACACGGGAGGAGAAGCCTCGCTGGCCAAGCTGGGTGCCTCTCCCCAGGGACGCAGCAGCACCCGGGCACGCACCCACTGCTCAGCCAGCAGGAGCTGCCAGCACCTGGCCCCAGCTACCCCTGCTGCCAGCAGCACCCTCTGCACCTTCTGCCAGGGGCAGGGAGAGCTCCAGCAGCAGCACAGCCATCGGCCGCCGACAGCTCGTCCCATCTGCTCCGGGCTCAGGCTGTGACTGGGGCGATGACACGAGCATGGAGAGCTGGACGCCCTCTCCGCCCAGTCCGTGCCACAGCTGAGGGGGACAGCCCGGTGCCTTGGGCGTCAGGTCCTCAGTCGCACACGCAGCACGGGTCAGGCGTCGACACCAAGAAGCCTTGAAGTGCGGGCAGCCGACGGCAGCGAGGCCCCCGCAGCTCAGCCCCTGCCTGGTCCCCATCCATGCGGGGTCACCGGTCCTGCCGGCAGGGCCCCTGCAGCAGCTTCCCTGGGCAGGGGAAGGCAGGTTGCCGCCGCTGCACCACTAGGCTGTTGCGGAGCACCTGGACGCCCTGTCCATTGGGGCAGCCCCGCTGCAGGGTCTGCACGGGAGCTGCCTGACCAGCATCGCGCTCAGCCCTGTGCTGTTTATTCACAAGTACTTTGGCATCTATAGTATTTAAGACTCCCGATCCTGTTCCTATGATACTGGTCTCATCTCTTGTTCGTCTTGGAGGGGTGCGGGTTCGCCCATGTAACC